GAGAGCACCCCCACCCAGATGCCTGCATCTGGGCTTCGACCCCCTGGTTACCCCATCAGTTACTTCAGCCTGTTTCAAATTGTGTTCATGTAATAAGATGCCCGGGTAATGGCAGCTCGATAATAACTGGTGTATGTTTAGTCGGCCTGTCAGACAGACCTGGGTTGCCTAAGGACCTCATTCACCCTGTGGATTCATGGGTGGATGCCGTTCTTAGGGCCATGTTAGAGATGAAGAAACTGATGTGTGGAGCCTCTCCTGCGCTGGAGCCACATGTGGTGCTGGGGGACTGTCCTGTGAATCACATGGGCCCTGCTACGTTACAAGCTCACAGCCCGTACCTTGGGCCTGGCCCTCCTGGGGAAGTTGGAGCTTGAGCCACCCAAGACSGCAGCACACACACGAAGTTCCACATTGTCAGGGCTCCTGGCTGGGATCCTATTGTGTTGTTATTGCTGCTGGACAAGTCAGACGTGCAGACAGCTGGCTGGGGGAACCTCAGCCTTCGCCCAGGGCTCGCTTCCCCTGGAGGCAGGTACCCGCTGTCTGGCTGCTGCTCCTTGTGTGCCCTGGGCTGGGCCCTGACTTGAGCAGCTGCTTCACTGCCAAGAAGAGACCTGTGCTTTGGTCCATCAAGGATTTTTCTTTATATTTCAATGGATTGTGATTCTTTGTTTTTTTATTTTCATATTTTAAGCCAGGRAGAATAGTTTTCTGATATTAGAAGTCAAAGAAGGGGCTGGGGGTGTTGACCAGTGGTAGAGCACTGGCTTTTCTTGCAGAATATCCTGGGTTTGTCCCCCAGCACCAAAAGATTGAAAAAGGAAATAAAAGAAACAGTGTTTGGAGTCCTGAGGACCACTGTGCCATCAGTAGTTATACTGAAGATAGYGGGCACAGTGGTGCACACTGTGATCCCAGCAACTTGGGAGGCTGAGGCAAAAGGATCCCAAGTTTGAGGCCAGCCTCAAGCAGTCTATCTAACAAGACCCTGAGCAACCTAGCAACCTGTCTCAAAAGAAAGAATAAAAAAAAATTTGGGGATATAGCTCAGGGGTAAAGCACCCTTGGGTTCAATCCCTAGTACCATACACACTAAATAAATAAATAAATAAATAACAGTACCTGTTTATCTAAAATGACCAGTTCAAATTGATGGTATCTTTGAGTGGCACCCAGTGTGTTTTCCAGTTTCCACAGGTCTCAGGTTGACAGACATGCCATCTGGTCCCGAAGACTGATTGCTATTGCTAAGGTTGCAGAGTTCTGTGTTACTAAAGCAAGGGATATTCCTGAGGAGGAGTGTTATGTTGTTATATAAGCTTCCAAACGTACGAGAGAAGTGTAACAAAGTGCCTGTGCTGGCTTTAGAGTCACCACCTGTGCCTAGCCTTGGTGGACAGGGGTCCAGGAGGTCCTGCAGGGGAAGTCTTCTTGCAGACACACAGACGARGGAGGTCTGTGCTTTAGAACCAGAGCCACAAACCCGACCGTGGTTGAGACACGTGTCCCGCAGGCACGTGGTCACCCAAGACCTCTAATTCTGCTTCTCTTCCAGGGCCCAGTCATATATTCGCAGTTAGACCACTCCGGTGGCCATCACAGTGACAAGATCACCAAGTCAGAATACGTGGTGTATGCGGACATCCAGAAAAATTAAGACCCAGAGCATCCTGGACAAGAAACAAACCCAAACTGGACTCTTGTGCAGAAAATGTAGCCCATAACCACGTGTGGCCTTGGGGACCCAGGCAAGGACACACACATGTGTAGACCCAGAGGGAGGAAAGGATGTGGATGAAGGACATGTATATTCTATTTAATCTTCCTGCTGTGGGGCCAGCATTGCATGTCGAGAAGATGGTGTGAGGGTGTGAATCTGCCTACGTATAAACGTCTTGCCATTTCTGTACAAGCTTTGGGGGTCATTAAGAGTTGGGATATTTCAGAAACATTCCTGTCACCACCATTTATATGTGGTTGTCTTTCAGAGACAGTAGCAGACTTCTGTGWTTCCAGTGGACGTGGCCTTTTAATCCAAGGGCTGAACCAGTCTTAGCATTTATTGTCATTGGAGGAAGGAGATCCCGTGGTGGACACACAGCCAGGGGCCCTATCACATGCGCCATAAATGTTCATTTGGTTGTAGCTTTTAGACAGCATCTGTTAACTATGCCACTTACAGAAAGTTCAAGAAATTGGTGTTGGTGCTTTTCTAAAACATGGTGCAAATTTTATGTGTTGTGTCAACTTACTTAAATGTCACACCCTTTATGTCCTGTCAGTGTGTGGGTTCATGACACCAGGTTAGCAAGGATAAGTGTGCCACTAGGTGCCACTGGTGCCACTCCCCTCCGGGTGCCTTAGATCAACACATGGGGGTGATTTGATGGAAAGGCCAGGCTGAGCTC